TTAGTACAATATATGTATACATAAAAATGGCATTATATTCTTCTTCTTCATCATTTTTTTTTTTCTTTATCTTCTTCTTCGTTTATTATATTCCCCGCTCTTCGTTACTTCTATTCATCGATTTTTTACTTTTTTTTTTTAGTCGTTTCTTACACCTGATACACACGCATATATGTTAGGTGTATTATAGTTAGAGCGTTGAGGGAACTTTAATATTTTGCACTTCCTTCAATTAATTCCTTTCAAAAGATCATTTGCAAAGAGACGAATTGATTTTTTTCCTTTTTTCTTTTTTCACCGTAAAAATCAGCCTTAATTGTAACTTCCGATGCACTCCTTTCCGATGAGATTCGAAATTTTGCTCGTATAAAAATATTTGTAAAACAATTTTAAAAAATTCTAAAAAAAAAAAAAAGAAAGAAAATACGCAAAGGATCGCAAAACGACGAAATCGATAAAAAATTTCCATTGCAAAATGATAAAGTCACCCCAACAGAAGGATTCATAAAACATCCATTATATATTCCGCCGTAGACGTGCGAGTACACGCGAGCACGTCGCAAATTAAAGACTAGCAATTATGGTTCTCTTAAAGAACTACGCCGTAATTAGGTAAAACCGTGGTGTCCGCTGAACACGGCTCATTATCCTATAAGTATATTTACTGATAAATTCTTTTCTTTACTAAAATATAATTATTATGGTATTCTGTGTTCCGCCAGTGATCGCTTTTTTATACTTATTTTTCTCGATAACGTTTTCTTTTTTCTTCTGTTTTCAAACAAAACGCGCACACGTCGAAACTGTGAGACTTTCGAGCAAAACGACGGCGTTCAATTTGAATGAATGACGGTAATGAAACATTAAATGCTGAAAGAATGTGCAAATGCTTAGAATAAAAAAATGAACGTTTCCCTTATCGTGTTTAGATTGTCAAAAATCGTGTGTGTGTGTGTGTGTGTGTGTAATTTACAATGAATTACTTCCTTTCATTTTTCTTATATTTCGTTCTGTCGTCGATCCGCGTAAAAGCTAAGTATCAAATGCAAAGAAAAACAGAAGAAAACAGCTATTATAAAAAAGTCTTATTCGTTAGAGGAATAAAAGATTCCAGACCCTGAACAGTCGCGTTTCTTCAGGCCAAACTATCGTTTTTGAGCATAAAATACGTATGTTTCGTAAATATGGACAGTTCATTGTGTGTTGTAGAAAACGGTAGGCGATCGAGTAAAAAGCCCGGCAGTAAATTTACTCTCGTCTGCGGAGGATCCGCGTGAAACAAGTCTTTTCCCATTGGCTGGCAGTAACGTTAAGAGGGCAGTGTTCCAAAGATCGTGAACACCGTCGTTATTGCCAAATCTCACAGTGACACACGATCGAAGCGGCGTTCAAAGATGTCGAACAAGTGATTCTCCACGCAAGGGATGCAACTAAAATTTCAAATTTCAACCCTTCTCGCGATTAAAATTCTTATCGATATTAAATACACCTCCAGATAAAATGTATACGTATGTATATATATATATATACGTATGTTCACGTTGAAATATAA